GGATGTCACATCATGAGAAAGAGAGAGACATACATACAGACAGCCAGAGAGAAACAGAGAGACAGAGATACAGTGAGACAGACAGAGAGCCACACTGGCATGTACCCATTTGTGGATATACCCAATGACTTAAGGCCCTCTCACTACATTCTACTGTACTCAAATCACATTAAAAACCACATCACTGGGACCAATAATTTATATATTGAATTTACAAACAAAATGTAGCATCATGCCAGAAAGTAGAATCTAGACATATATGCCAGATTGAGTAAAGTTTATTTTGACTGCTGGAAAATATTTACTATTAGAAGAGGATCCTTTGAGGTCTGTGAACGATGGTGAGTATGGACTTGAAGAGTAACCATGTAGAAGAGTACTGAGAAATGTGGTGATATTTTGTTGATGATAAAACAGATAAAGCTTGCCTGAAGATCAGAATGCAAAGCTAGCCACACTAGCTAGATAAAGAGGGCAGACAGTGGTGGCACACATCTTTAATCCCATCATTCAGGAGACAGAGACAGATGGATCTCTGTGAGTTCAAGGCCACCATGAGTTACATGACAGTCAAGGAATCTAAAAGAGAAACTGAAGCACACCTTTAATACTAATATTTGGGATAAGGCAAGAGCACAGTGCAGTGTCAGTCTGTATTCAGTCTTCAGTTATGTTGAGGACAGGTTTTCCCCAGCCTTGATAGAGATGAGAACTCTCTAGTAGTTGGCTATTTTGCTTTTCTGGTCTTCAACTTGAACCCCAAAATCTGTCTCTGAGTTTTTATTACTTGGGCTACAGAGAAACTGTCAGATTCTACAGTCAGCATCTGAGCTCAGCTGTGTGCCTGAATTAAGTATGAGACAAAGCTGGAGATTCTGAAGCCACAGAGATAGCATTAGTCAGTACTGAATCCCAGTCCTATGGCCATGGAAAGCACATAAAGGGAAAGCTCTTTCCTGAAATAAGTTCTCCTTATACCACATGTACTTCATCATATCCACATTCCCAGGCTTTCCAATAATACTCATTTCTTATTGGCCCCTTGTCCTTTTAAATGAAATATGTGTTGGGACTCACAGTAGTAAAACTGTTATTTTCTTCAATCAGTCTAATTCCTAACTGTACTCTAAATAATTATCCTTGTACCCACAAATAAGAGTTGTTCCAAGTCTTCATAAAAGAGGCTCCTTTTGAAGCAGAAAGAGACAATTACAGCAAGCCACACTGGTCCAAATGCAGACAATTACTGACCATGGATTGTCTAGTTCAAATTGATACATCTGTTACAGCTAACTGAATATCATGGAAGATGGGATAGAAAGGTTCTAAGATCAGTGGAAGTCTGCTGTGAGATTGTGCCTTCTACCTATGACAGGGAACCTACATCCATAAAATCTCAACAACATGGCTGTGCAAACAGAAACTGTACAGCTCCATTAGCAGTAGACAAACTATTGTAAATTTGGGAAATCTCATGGGTCCTCAATCCTAGATGTAGAGCTAAAAACCAATTAACAACTGCTGAAAGAGAATGAGAAGAATCACACACACATACGCACACACACATACACACACACACACACACACACACAGAGAGAGAGAGAG